GGGACTAAAGACCACAAATACGGGGGGGGAGAATCTGGAGAAAAAAATCATTTTGGGATGCCAATTTCCGGTCCCCTACGTCAACTTAAATTGTGAAAAATCGGGTAATCGGGATAAGTGTCATGTAGTTGGAGTTACGGTCTCAGCTGAGGTTTCGTCCTCTTTTCTTTTTCTGGAGGAGGAGAAAACTGAATAGATATTGTGGGTGTTATACATAACTAAAAGGAGGGGTTTTTTACTCTGATTCGGCCTTTTTTTTCTGCTCTAGTCCTCCTATATGACCCGACCACTGTATTATGTGCGAGTGGGTTTTAAGAATCCATCGCACGGCACCATGCCATGACTTGACGACCAGTCATTCGTACCCTGTATAAGATACAGAGATGCTGCTGCAGCTTCAGCAGTTTCCCCCTTGAGGCACGTAGCCCCGTTTGCGCCCCTACCAGTTTGGTCAATCATCCCCTTCGCCACGGGTATCCGAAACATGGTGAATCCGACTGAAGGGAGTGGAGGAAGAAACGGAACCCGCAAACTCTGAAGAAAAGCGCCATCCTGAAAAATCATGCTCCTCAGCGATCTACTAACAATATAAAATTATCCGGATATCTCATAATCTTCCGCGATTCCGAAAAACAACCACAGTATACCTAGTGGAGTAGGGTACTAAAGCAAAAACAAACAAACAAACAAAGCAGTTGCACGGGACCCGATGCCCGGGGGGAAGGGTATTAAGAAAAGCAAAACAGTTATTTGATATTTCTTCTGCCCACAGCGGGCCTCCGGGGGGCTCCCTATGTGGGTTTAGAAAAACATAGGGCCCATGGAAAAGGGGGGCTGGATCCCGGGCCTTTTCCTTAGACAAAACTCTTTTCCTGCTGCCATGTTTGGATCATTACAGATAACAAGGGTGGACTTGCCAAACTTAATAGGTGCAGGTGCCGGCAGAAAAGAATATTCCATAGGATCGAGCCCCACGGTGCCCTGGGAGCGTTTGGATTCCACAATCTCTGCCTCCCAATAATCTCGGGGTTCAGAGCCAGAGGCTCCTGAGGAAGATTAATGCTTCCCCTGGGCGGTAAATCCCGAGCGCTAGGGGTTGGTTTGATCTCATTAGCTTGCATTTGCAATTCGGTTAACGTCAACCTAAATCTGCAGTAAGTGGAACGGGGGTTAGCCCCAGCTAAGCGGGTAGTGGGGCTCTAAGGGCTTTCACTGTGGATTTTTATTCTCTATCTATGTATTCAGAAATAGTGCTTGATGTATGGGGAGTTCTGGCCTAAGGCAGGTTGACCGCTGCCTGCCAGTTGTTTTGTCATTCAAAGAGGGTGACAGCGGCTGGGCAGGTCTCTTCTGTGGGTTGACAGGGTAGCATTTGTGGCGCCATAGACTGGGTAGGGACGTGGTTGACGGCTGTCCGCCAACGCACCCCGTGAGAGGCCAGTCAGAATAGCAGTGGGTCAAATTTGAATGGCAAGGGGAAAAAAATAGAGTATAATGGTAGCCGTAGAGAGAATATTACTGGGCTAGTTTGAAGGAGGTAGGCCAGGATATTATGTTGGATTGTTCACATCCTCGTGGTCCACTCCAGTCCAAGGAATATATCAGGTTGGCTGGAGGAGTGGTGGATTTTCTGTAGTGAAGATATGCCAATACCTGATCTAAACCCCTTCCAGATTGCCACCGGAAGTCAGCGACCCGCTTTCTTTTTTTCTCCGTGGTTTTTTTCCGGCTCCACAAGCATTACCCGTAAGCATCATACCGCGCTTGATCCGGTATTCAGCCATCGCCAGCCCTATCCGCAATGCCGTTTTTTCCGAAATCTTTTCTCCCCCCTAAGTTTCCATTTCATCCATTTACTCGCCATGTTCGTACCCTCGCGGCATATCGTCAGTGGAGGATGAGAAGGGCACGGCGGGGCGGGACCTGGACTGCGGGGCGAGGAATCTTATCGGATTGGTGATGATCTCAGTAAGCTGGAGGACAATTTGAATGTTTTCTGCATGGAAAACTGCGGCGAGCTTCATCTTAAGTTCATGAATGTTATCCAGGAGGCACGGATCCGGTTGGATGGGGATCTCCGGGCGGCTCGTGACAACTTGGAGACCAATCTTAGCGAGATTCACCATATCTACCTCAAAGACTATGACCTGTAAAGTTTGATTCTAGCAAGAAACATGAACAAACCCTCAGTGTTGAAGTAGGATCCCCTCACTTGAGCTGAAACCCCTGCTTACATGCTTCTGGGGTGTTGCAGCGGACGCAAATTATATGTTGAAGTTGGCCGGGAAAGACAATGTTTGTGGGGCAATAGGTGAATTACGATAATCTAGACCTCTGGGGTTTTCACTAAAATTTTGACGCAGAACGCATTGTCTACCAGGGTAAACTTCTGGGCAAGATATCTTGTTCTTCGAACATCCAGGATGGACTGAACTGGCTGGCCTTGAGTGAGGAATTCACTAAAGCTCTGGGTGGGGAAGTGTACACACGGAGACTTCGATTAGGAGTTGTTCGCAGCCGTATTCGGCACCTTTATAGCCTTGTATGCAATCGCACGCACACGCATACTAATGAGAGCACCATTATTGCCAGAGCTACTCATTATTTCCCAAATGAACGCGCTGCCCTGGTCACCTTCTTGAGGCTGCAGAGCAAGTGGCCGTATGTGCTGAGTTGGAGGGAGGATAAATCTTGGACATATAGATCTTGGGAAGATAACTCTGGGGAAGATAAATCTGGGGAGCAAGGCAAATCTGGGGAGGAAGATTAATAGAAAATGCATGCTACGGTTCACTTCCTCGATCTCTTGTTCCTGGTATTGACGGAAGCGCCCCCAGGCCATTAAAAAACGTGATTGGTTATCAGCAGAACACTCGGGTTCCCAGGGGAGTCAGCAGGGAGGGAAGGGACTCTATGTCGCTACAGTTTCATTCCATTGCAGCAGTCTCAATGGACTGTGTATTCTTCTCCACCTGACTGGAGGTTTTCGGGTGAGGGGTTATCTGGTTGGTTTCAGACCAGCGTGGCTGTATTATTAGGACCGTCAGCGGAGATCATTGGGTCCTTTCGTCAAGCCTGCATGCCTTCATTTGTTACCTTAGATTGTAACTGATCGGTGGGCTGTGGTGTTGAACATATGTCTCCCCATAAATTCAATAACAAATGCTGTGCCCGGGTTGTGCAAAAGCGAAGAACACCCACACCGAGATCTAGGATCCGTGGGGGGGGGATGCGATTTCTGATTCCTGAATTGCTAGGTGAGTGAAATCTCCTATCCTTCCAGAATTTCGTGGTGGACGTCTGATGAAAGTTGCAAAGAATGAAGCAGTGGGCATAATCTAGTTGATGGAAAGAAAGTGGTGGGCGGAGGACACTGGTGGCACTGCCGATCCACAGAGATGACGGCGAGTTATGGAACAGGCCATAGGTCGTTTCCTCTTCCGTGCCTCTGCAATTAGTGAACGCCGCGGAGATTAACAAATAGTAAACCTACTCTCAGGATTCCCGCCATCCTCAGACCCTGTACCCTGTCAGAACTGGTATTGGAAGAAACTAAACATATCTAATACCGTGTATTTGACAGCATGCGGTGAGTGAAAAACAAGACGCTAAAGCACCTATGTTGTTGTGATGTGGAACGTGGACGGTGCCGGAGGTGGAGGAGAGATGATGGTTGATGCAAACCAAAGAAAGATCTAAGAAGGAAAACATGAATGCTAGCACTCAAAATAGGAGTGCCCCGAACCCAACCAAGCCAAAGCCCGTACATGACCTAAGTGTGGGTATTCGTATATCCTCATATCGGTAACATATGTGACCCCCGCTCCTCCCCACATGATGCATCAAATCAGATGCAAAACTAACAGCCGAGGCAGTAACACCACAACCGCCAGTTATAAGACCAACAACCCACAAACGCTTGTGAACGCTCTCACGGTTGTTGCAAACCACCGGTACTCCAATTGGTCACTCTGGTTCCCAAGTTATTCGGAATACCTGAGCTGTTGGGCCTTCTTCCTTTTATCTGTAATGCTCACGGGTGATCTGGTAAGCAGGTGGGGAACTTTCTGGAAGCTCCTATGTACGGCTGTATTATAGATTGATATCCTAAGAGTAGGGGAATTAATACCATGTGGTGGTTGTAAAAATTATGAAGGGAAGTATGGAGAGTTTGAATGAGAAGTTTATAGAGAGCAATGGAACGAGTATACTGTGGACAGACTTATTATTCGGTCCCCCTGTTCTACATATGACTGGCTAGAGAGGACCCTTTAGATACATAAGTCAATCACCAACTCTTCCGGGAGTCTCTTAAACATAATCAGGCCATTTCAGTATTTTCTTACACCATTTCCTTACTCCCTCTTTCTAGCTCTTCTACCCTATTTCCATGTACCTTGTTTACTCCTCACTTCGCATTCTTAATAGAATAGAGTACCAGACTCCGGTGATTCATCCGATATTATTCTCGCATCTTCTAACATATAGTAGGCAGGGATTGTGTCTGGAGGATTGCCTGTGATTAACGGTAGTGGTGGGGACCGGCTGTGTCGGTTCATGGCGCCGGGCTATGGGAAGTCAGGAGGTACCGAGAGAGAGAAACAAAAAGCGCGGTAAAAGTGGGGTTATGTTGATCGCTGGATGAGCAGTCTTGAAGGAAGGATGAAGAGGGGAAAGGAGTAGCCTTCGCAGTGTATATAGAGGTGCATGTTTGCCTATGAAGAAGAGGTGGAGCGGGATATGAAGGTTGATAAAATAACGGAACATTTAGCACAGCAACCTTAGACCGCGCACAGCATCGCAACCCCTCCGCCTCGCTCCCTCACCCCACTATACCTGTACCGTGACAAAAAACTTCTGATACAAAAGATATCAATTAGGATTATGCGTTTATTTGATTTTTAAATATTTTGCAGTTGTGGTTTTGGAAGTCAAGTATCGCGAAAGAAGTGTGCCCCGGTTTATCGCGATGTTCGGTTAATTATGCTAACGGACAATATCAGAAAGAGAGCGAGCATCAACATACGACCCACGGCCGGAAAGTAAGACTTCCAGTGCGCATACAGACAAGGACCAATCTCAATTTACAAAAATGGTCTCATAAGTACATCCCCTATAGCGGGCCTTTATTCTACCCGCGTGTTAAAGGCAATCCAACATGTTTGGCTCTGATGCACCTCCCAGAAAGCCGTTGCCGTAGAACTACTTAATATATTCGGGCTTGGGAGGACAGCACCAGCATGGATCCCGAGGATTCCCGTCCTCATCCTCTCGCCAGTCCAATGAATAAGGCCATTCACTCTGCATCTTTAGGAAGCCTACAAGGGCGGCTACCTGGTTCGGTGTATATTCCAGTGCCCAGAGAACAACCATGCAATAGTTATCATGCGGGCGGTTGCATACTTCATCATAGATGCCTGGGACGCAAGCTATCACATCCTCGAGGTTCAGCCCACGGTCTCGAACTTCCTGCTGAACAATCCTTATAAATTCCTCCTTGCCGGCGAGCTCAATCAATCCGCTTTGCACACCTACGGATGATGCGATCATTTTGTTGAGTCGCGCGGTGTAAACGATATATTCTGATGCATCAGGTTATTAAGCGCTCCAAACCACTCGATTTTGTGGGCATACTTAAGGCCCCAAGAATGTTAAACTCCCCCATGAATTTCATCTTTTCTTTTATCTCGGCCCAAAGCTCAAACTATGCAGAAGGACGTCAGAAATATTGCGGTGGCTGAGAGCGAAGAGCCTACCCTCAGACCCTCGATTTCCACCCTGATCTCCGACTTCTCCTTGCGCAGCTTCGCACGCTGTTTTTGCCAGAAATCCTGACGCAGACAGTCAAACCTGCTGTCCTCCCTATTGGCTTCAAGGGTTTCTGCTATTCCAGCAACGAAATCGTGGAAATCTTCCTTGTACTCATGAATCTCTATCTCCATTTCAATGCGAGTGGGTTTGGGTGTAGTAGTGGCCAGCCTCCTAGTAGAAGAAGCGAGCTTTCGAACCGGGCCGACATGTGCACTAAACGGAGGCAAGAGTAAGGAGCGGGACCTTAGAGAAAGGAGCATTGCTGTCGTGTGGAGTAATGAGTGCTGTGGTATGTGGGAGGGTGTGTTTTGAGATGAATTAGTAGTTTGGAAACGACGAGTTCCCACCATGCCGAGTATACAAGATGAGGGCACAGCGAGGTGGGATAGGTTCCGGACAATTGGAACCAACCCTTTGCCCATTCTCACTCAGATGAATAAGAACTCTTTTTTTTTTTTTTAACAAAAGTGTGAACTTATCAATATAACAAGTTCTTTAGAAACATAAAAATTATTGTGTATAATACTCTAGTGTTTTCCTACAAATAATACAAATCTATTATACAAATATTCAAACAAGATTCTTGAACTGCCCTAATAAGTATAAAGGAACCATCTCCATTTAGTATATATTTTCTATAAAAGACACTCTTCTGTGAAACTTATCTTGCTCAATATAGGCAGATAGTTCCGAAGTTTCATATGTGATATTGGTTCTGTAGGCCAGTATCTACCGCATACATTGATGGCAGAACATACAGCCACTCGTCAGAAGTGTTCGTGATGGTGTATTAGTAAGCTGCCTCGCCAAAATCCCACAACAACTACCTATTCATAATACAGTAATAAAGCTACCTTCCTGCAATAATGAGGATACCCACTAGTACCAGTGAAGATCCTGCAACTGTAAACTTGAAGTTATTTCTGTAGGGTTCTGTGCTGCTCTTATTTTTTTGATTTTTTTAACCATAATTATTAAACATGAAAT